ATAACATCCCACCATGGACAGCGCAGTGGTCTACCGCCTGCACTTAACGACCGAGACCGGCGACGTCTGCAAAGAGTCGTAAATTCTAACAGACAAACAACACTGCGTCAAATAACCGCAGAAATCAATGTGGGACGTACAAGGGACTTGTCTGTTAGAACTGTGCGGAGAAATTTGGCTTTCTTGGGCTATTCCAGCAGAAGACCGACTCGAGTGCCTATACTGACAGAACGAAATCGCTTGCAGCGACTCTCGTGGGCACGTGAGCATATCGGTTGGTCCCTAGATGAATGGAAAACCGTGGCCTGGTACGATGAGTCACGATTTCAGTTGGTAAGAGCTGATGGTAGGGTTCGAGTGTGGAGCAGACCCCACGAAGCCACGGACCCAAACTATCAGCAAGGCACTGTTCAAGCTGGTGGTGGCTCCGTAATGGTGTGGGCTGTTTTTTCATGGCATGGACTTGGTCCTCTGGTGCGACTGGACCGAACATTGACTGGAAATGCTTATGTTCAGCTACTTGGAGATCACTTGCAGTCATTCATGGACTTCATGTACCCAAACAACGGTGGGATTTTTATGGATGACAATGCGCCCTGTCGCCGGGCCACAACTGTTCGCGATTGGTTTGAAGAACATTCTGGACAATTCCAACGAATGATCTGGCCACCTAGATCGCCCGACATGAATCTCATCGAGCATTTATGGGACATCATCGAGAGGTCTGTTCGTGCCCAAAATCCTACACCATCAACGCTTTCACAATTATGGACGTCTATCGAGACAGCATGTCCCAATATTCCTGCAGAAGACTTCCAACGACTTGTTGAGTCCATGCCACGTCGAGTTGCTGCACTTCACCGGGCGAAATGAGGGCCGACACGATATTAAGAGGTATCCCATGACTTTTGTCACTTCAGTGTATTCCATTTACCTACTTGATGAGAACAAAAATCTTTCATAAAGTAAAATGAAGTCATCATGAAAAATCAGTCAATAGAATGTTTAAATCTTGATCACAGCACTGCTTTCAGTCCATTTTCTATTCTATAAAAAACACGTTTTTATGGATAAAGAGAATCTTTCACTGTAAGCTTAAAATATAAAACGTTACCATTCACATCTTATGAAACAAACAATGTATAGTTCAATTAATACACAAAGCCTCAAGATTGAAATAATTTTTTTAAAAAAAATCTATTTGATCGATAAAATCTGACGTCCTTTAATCCATAACAAGTGATGTTTCGCAAAATATTAAACCGGGGGTTTTGACTCTTACTGTAGCAAAAAGAAGAGAACACAATCCCAAACAGCTGTCTCCGGCTTATCAGTTTACTTTAGCTTTTCTAATGTCCAGTACTCAGAAAGTGGCAATTCCGGTCAAAAGTAATTTTTAGATGAGTTAAGACTGAAAGAGGATGAATGGTTAGTTGGGTCAAAAACCATGTGCAAGCAAAATGCTATTTGTTTATGAGCTTAGCTCTTAAAGAATTTCTTAGAATTATCACCAAATGTATCCTAAGCTTATGCAAGACAGATTAAATTACAGCATAATCTTTTCGTCATAAAATGCTATTTACTTGTTTTTATATAATATAGGAAAAAAAATCTATTTATTTTTGTTAGTGTTTGCATTTTTATAAATAGCTTTTAAACGGTTATAGCAATTTTATTTTTTTATTTTTATATTTTTTTTTATATTTTTGTTATTTTTTTTAAGTTAGATATTCAAAAGAATATCGAAAACTACCTGAAAACTGGATTTTTCTAGATAGATTTCGCTTAAAATACTATTAAATTCAAAGCTGCTAGAGAAATTTTAAATCTTTTTCATATCAACATGTTGTTTTAAAAAAATTATTCAAATTTTAGAACCACGGATATATCAAATATCTGAGTTTTAAAATAGTTGATCGAATATGATGTAAGCTTCAAATACTGATTTCAAGGATTGAAAGTGAATAATCTAAATTAATAAAAATACAACAATTAGCCAATAAAAATACTTTTATCAAAATGCTTATCATCATTATTTTCTGTTAAACACGGGTAGGCCTCATGTTTCACTGACACATCTCACTAACAGTCCACGGAGGGGTGATGAGGTGAGGGAATTGTCTTCTGGGAGGACTTTTAGAGTCAACTGCCAGCACTTTTGAGCCCTTTGTGAAAAAAGTCTGTAAACACTCACCAGACAACCTGATTATTTACACACATTGTCACAATCGCCATCAAGATTCATGGTTTCTGAAAGCAGGATTACAACGACGACGCCAGCAGAACTTGCATAAACTTATTTAAGAATGGTTAGAAGAATGCGTTACTCTATCACTCATAATACTCTCACCACATTAAATGAGAAATTAACAAAATAAAATTCATTAAAAAATGGAAATATAGGTATTGCTAATTGAAATATTACTATTATATGAACATATGAGGGCCTGAAGGGCCGAGTGGCTAGCGCTCTGGCCCTCGGTGCCACAGGTTTCGGGTTCATGGATGTTTGTAGAGGTTCGGAATCTACTTTAAGCCGTAGGTCCGGGTCTCATATGACTGTTGAGCGTTGGGAGTAGGTAGACGGCCTTGGTCCACACTGGGTTGTCGCGCCAATGATGATGATGAAGATATCAAGTTGTAATGACGAGAAAAGAAAATATAATATTTAAAGCATTGCCAGAAAATAAAATTATAAATTTCAAATGGGCTATCAAAGGTCAGACCGCTAGCTAATTGGCCATCAGGCAGCCCGAGTATTGGAGATTTAGCTTTATCAAGGGTATACAAATATCAGAACATTAAGAGTAAAGATTTCCTGACATTTCTATTATATACAGTTATATGACAGAAATATCAATGTAGTTTACCAATGCTTATCCTGAGTTCTAATCTAATAGTACAGAGGGAAAACAAAATTAATTTTGATACAATGAAATAAAAAGTAATTCAATTTCCCTTTCCAACTTTTGGGGATTTAACTACGTTTGACCAAACTAAATCCCTTGTACTTACCTTAAATTTCCCTTTCTTCTGTTTTTTATTTATAGTTGACTTGGTGCTCTTGTTGAAACTATAGCTTACTCGACTTTCTTGATTTAATCCGTTTTGATTTTTTTTCAATTTTGATGAATTATTTAGATTATTTTTTTTTACTTATGTCTTAGCAATTTATAAAATAATTGATTTTTTTCACATATTAGATATTCTGATTTTTTTAATTTTTATAATGCTTTAGTTAATTACTTTCTTTTCCGAAGTTGCATTCACTTCATTAATGCAATAGAACATAAAAAAAATTTCTAGTTTTTTAGTAATTAGCTGTTAATTAATATATAAACACAATATGGCTCTATTCTACATTTTATACGTTTTTTATTTTTATTTTTATTTTAATTCTTTCAGTCATGGGATGGAGTTGACTTATTACTGCAAAGTTATTTACGCAAGTTACTTATTTTACTAATCCTACGTCTACTTATTTACTATGCATGAAGTTACAAAATACGATTTTTTTATTGATACAAAAAAATAAGAGAATTACCAAAAAATATTTAGAAGAAAAAATATATAGAGAAAATTCATACCTTTAATGGCTGAATAAAAATTTTAATTATATGAAAAAAGGAAATGGGTACCATATTTTTAATTTTCTTACATACAATAAAACTTGTGTATATTTGATAAACTTTAAGCCGTATATTGATCACAAAAACGAATAAATGTGTACTATCTCTTAATCCAGTTTTGTGAAAATTGCAAATCTATGAAGGAATCATTGGAACTTAATGAAATTTATTCGACATATCCATATATTCCATATATACAATAATACAGATAAACGATAAAATTTGCAGAAGAAGCAATATTAAATGATAAAATTCAGTAATTGATGAAGCCACCAAGCTCTGCTATAATAGCATCTACATGTCGGGACATTCGATGAAACAGAGTTTGAATGTGTCCCTAGGGAATAAAACTATTCGGATAAATTGCTTCTATCCGAACCCAGAATTCAGATATATTGGGTACTAGATGGTGTCAAGAGTGAGTTGCTGACTAAGATGTTTAATAAATGTCATGACTTATTAATCCAAAAAAAAAAAAAACACGCCGCGTCTGAGCAACAGACGGTTTAGAGATGAAGGCTTTAACTTTTTTTTCAACATGTAGAAGGATGTATTATCCTGATGGAATACACCTCTAGAAATTCCTTGAAGGAAGGAAAAGATTTCGAGCTTTAACTCTTGTATGATGTAGTGGTCGTTGAGAGTACTTGAAATTTTGAACACCCATGATACCCAATAATACACCAAATCATCACGTTTGGTATTTGTCCAATATGATACAGGATAATGCACTTGATAAAATTCATCTCCAAAGTGCCTGAAGAGATACTTAGAAGTCTGTGGGGAAGTGAGATTTATCAGAAAAACGATTAGTTGTAAATCTTACGCCACTGGCTATGTTATGGCAGCAGGAGACTTCGATAGTTTTTTATCAAGAGATCTTGAGCAAAAGAATGCATGCACAGAATGTTTGTCGCAGCAGACTATATAAGTGAAAAAAATATTCTCCAAAATGAAATATATATAATAAAAGATTCAAGTTAACTGATGAGTATTTCAAGTCGCTGCTATTAATTTAAACTAGTAAACTTGGTCCACAGCTGATAACAATTGTCAGTGTGAAGTTACAGTTACATAAATCTCATTAATCATGTTGATGTTGTTTCTTATCCCACTTGGCTGGCCAAGCCCACGAGCCCATACGTACTCATGATTGAAGGGGAAGGAAGCAGCTTCTGTTGTGATGGAGCACCCGTAGGTAGAAGCCTGACTTTTGCTCCGTGACACTCTTACAGTCATAGGAGACCGGGACCTACGGTTTAAAGTGGATTCCGAACCACTACAAACATCCATGGCACCGTCGGGATTCGAACCCGAAACCTGTGGCACCGAGCGCCAGACACTCGGCCCCATTCAGGTCCCAAATTTGCCAACGGCACGCGGTGTTCCCAGGTGGTCACCCACCCAAGTACTGACCGCGCCCAATGATACTTGACTTCGGTGATCTAACTAACGGTGATCTAACTAACGGTGATCTATCATTAATCATAATTACAATATTGAATTGCATTATGTGAATTACCTATGTGCGTCACTTATTATAAGTTTTTAAGACAAATCTCATATCATTAATCAGTTAAAATGTTCAATTTCCTTATATCAGTAATTGTTTCTTAATTGGTTGATTACTTAAAAACATCTGGTTATTATTTTGTATGATTTACTTACACTGTAAATTTTATAATGTATTCAGTATATATACTGTGGTGGGACAGACTGAAGGTGTTCGCTGGCCAATACTGGCCCGCCAGCGTTTTTGTTTTACAATTATCATACCAAACACTTGGTATGATAATTGTAAAACAAAAAATTCCTAAATTCAGTGGAAATTACAAAAATGGTCCGATAGTAACACTTTCAAATTTCCTGGAAATGAAGACAAAAAGCCGAAATGGATTGATACAAAAGTGGAAAGATACAGTGGATTGATACAGTGGAAAGATTTCATCTCTTCAAAAATAGCCACATTTGTTTTGAATTGGCTTTTATGATGAAATTTTTTTTTCTCATTTCACCCAGTCAATAATATTATAAAAATATTCGTTATAGTAATATTGATTTATCTTTTTATATTTTGGGTATGTAAACAGAACTTTTTAGAGAGGGAAATCATACAAGAAGCCCATGGATATGATGAAACCTCTGTCAGGATGATAGTGACTCCTTTAAAAGCATTTCGATTGCAAAATAACATTCCTTAAATATTTCTTGGATATCAATATTTAAGTAAAAAAAAAAACATCGAGCAGGCTAGATCCAAGTGAAAAAAAAAAAGAACTAAGAGGATTTCAAGTTTTATCAAGAGCTATAGAGGAAAGTAAACAAGACAAAACGAAATATGAAAGAAGTTTTGAAGCCATAGAAAGATTGAGTAAGAAAATGTACAATGTAAGTATAACAAATTTTTTGAATGTTATTGAGAAAGATGGATGGGGTTTTTTTTCTGTGTGTGCATGTAAACATTTCACCTCTTTCAGAATTATGTATACTGTACATTTTAGTAATCTTTTGGAACTTAACTTTTTTGCCAGAAATGTAAAATTAACTCAAATTGGGCAATGTTGTTTCCCTAAAATTGAATAACATAAATTAATTAAGTGATTTTCATCAATATTGCGATTGTTTTCCTCAAGATAAAAAAAGATGCTTTAGCTACAATAACAGGTACCTTAAAGAGCCTTATATCATACACTCATGTCCCTAAATTAAGGATAACGAAGTTCAGGCAAAGAAAGAGACAGAAACAAAACAAATTTGACTTATTTGTAAAGTCTATTTATTAAACAAAAGGTAAAGAGCAAAAAAGATGCTATATGTTTGACATAATTAATAAAAATTGCGATTTTTACTCCCTGGAGCAAATTTCAAAAAAGAACCTATTTACAAAAAACAGTATAACATGGTTAGTATGATGGTTAATAAGGAGTATGTCTCCGGGACGATGCAATACAGGCCTTACAACGCCTAGGCATGCTGAGTATCAAATTATCAATCTGATCTTGGGGAATATTACACCACTCATCAAGCAATGCCCTCCGAAGTTCCGGTTGACAGGTGGGAGGGGGTTGACGGGCTGCAATTCGTCGGCCAAGCATATCCCACACATGCTCTATCGGATTCAAGTCCGGTGAGTATGCTGGCCAATCCATACGGGTAATATCCTCCAACTGAAGGTATTCGTCTACAATGTTTGCACGGTGACGACGGGCGTTGTCATCCATAAACAGAAATTCAGCAACAGAACGAGAATCAGACTGCAAACTAAACCTGGACTCGTCGGAAAACATCAAACCAGACCACTGTTGCGGTGTCCACAATGCATGCTCTCTACTCCAGGTTAATCGCAGGCGACAGTGAGTTGCTGTAAGTGGAACACATCTGACAGTCCTACGAGCATATAGACCAATGTGCCCTAAGCATCTGTACACTGTCTGCTTTGAAACTGTTGTACCGGTAGCTGAAGAGACCTGACGAGACAGGTCTGATGCTGTGCTCCGTCTGTTTCTTTTGGCAGTAACTGCTAAATACCGGTCCTCATTCGACTTTGTAACTCGGGGGCGACCTGTGCTGTAACATCTACTCACATTACCATCCTCTTGGAATCGTTGCCAAAGCCTCTGGGCGATTCCAAGTTCCTCGGATACTTCCAGCTGGGTACGTCCACATTCCAGTCGTCCGATAATTCTACCACGTAAAAAATCATCCAAATGCTTCCTTTGTGCCATAACTATGCGGTTATTGCACTGAAAGGCTTTTAAAGCGCTTGTGAACAATTTTACTTCTTTGCCACCATTCCTTATATACCCCTCTCTTACACTCTCGTCATTGTGACGTACTATCCGCGCCATCTGGTGGTTTCCTGTAATTTGCATATTCTTCTTCAAGATGTGTGTGATAATTCTACAGGTGAAATTTTTATTTTAGAGTTCAATTTCTGCGTGATTCTGAATTATCCTTAATTTATGGACATGAGTGTAAATAGAAAATGATAATTAGGTTTCAATTTATTTACGATTTATTATCTTTACAATTTAGTCAAAACATCGCTTATGAATTGATGAAATCCGTATTAAGGCATTTACTATGAAATTCGTATTAAGTTATTTACTATGAAATTCGTATTAAGGCATTTACTATGAAATTCGTATTAAGGCATTTACTATGAAATTCGTATACAGCTGCTGGTAGCATTTGTGGTAACCCTTCCCCCCACAACAGCGAGTAATCAGCTACGTCTGCCCAGGTTAACATAATATCGAGTGTAGCATCATCTTATAACGTTGTTGCACATGTGTGGCCAGTATAAAAAATAACTTTCCTTGGTTTACATTATTTCCTAAAAAATTATTTTTCATCTTGAATTTCATTTGTTATCTGTAATTATTGGTGATAATATCATAAAATGAAAGGTTAATGTCTGAATTTTTAATATAGTTACTCTTTTTCTTTTCAGTTTTCCCATTCAAAGACAGCTTTTGGTTGCTTTTTTTCTTCTTTTTTCGCATAAAAGGAGTCAAACAGCAATAATGCGCCAAAGAAGGTTTCCGAAAATTTAGGAGTGATAACTTCCATGATCGGCTACTAGGAGCTCTAGCGTCTATGTAATTTTTAGTGTTCACAAATTTTCCATTGCAGCCTTTGAGATTCCGCTGTCTGTAAGAAGTAGTCTGTGGAGTTGACCATGTGGATATAAAACTGTGAGGAGTTTGTAGTGGAAGTTTAATTCTCAATAATTTGTATATAGTGCGCCTACAATTACTTGGTTTTTAAATGCTCCCTGTCAAAAGGATATTTTTATTTTTTTATTTTTTGTATAATATATATATTTTATTTCTAAAATTTACATTTCTTTTTTAATAGTATTGCATTGAACCTTATATAAAAATATATTTGTCTTTTCATTTAATACTTTTAAAAAATATTTTTATACAAGTACAGTATTTTTTAGTGCAATTACTTTTTGAAGCAATAATTATCAAATGAATAAACAGTAAGTTATTCATTTCCTTGTATTTTTTAGAAAAACATGACAAATTAAAAAAGAATTGTCAAATTTATTTTAAAATCTAAGAAAAAAAAATCAAAAATCTTTATTTTATATTTAGTTTTTACTATTTGTTTTTACTAACTTGACACATTTAAAATTTGGAGTATATTTATGGGACTGAAGGATAATTTATTTTGTAATTTTAATAAAAAATTATTATTTTTACAATATGCGAATTAAAGTATAGACTCACATTAGATTAATATTTCTTGAATACGTTTTGGCACTGGATTAATTCACAGAAAAAAAATTTTGAATTTTGCTACTGAGTTTCAAAAGTAATTTTAAACCAAACAACTTCTATCAATAAAAAATGTAGTGATATAATATAGTTATTAAATTATAATAAATTTGAGATATAAAAGCTTTTTTAAAATATTTGAACATTATATTGTTCATTGTATTTCGAGATATTTTGGAATTACTGGCATTAAAAAAAAAAGCAAAATTGAATAGAATTTTATATCTTGATTTTGATATTTATTTTTGCTTATTTGGCACTTTCAGAATTTGTGGAGCATTAAAGATACTGAAAGAATAAGTTATTTTTATAACTTAAAAAACCATTATTAAAGTATCTCACAAATGATCAATATTTCTTAAATATTTTTATGCTTTCAGTTAATACATAAGATTTTTTTTTAATTGTGCTACTGAATTTCAGAAGTATTTCTAAACCAAATTATTTCTATAAATTATACAGTAATATAGTACAATTATAAAACTATTGTAACGTCTCGGCCTATATTAGACCTATAACGTCTTCAAGAAGAGGGCTACTTTCACGTTCATGGGAACACTTCTTATTTACAAGTACTATATATATATATACACAGTCCAGTCACATTAATGTGACCACTTGTCAAAAGCCAGAACATACATTCTTGTATATTCTGTCTTTAAGTGGAGTGTGGAATGTGGTATTAAGTGGTATTCAGTGAAATTCTTTATATACACTCCCCTGCAATGTGCTGCCACCTGCCTTTTGTGATTGGTTATTTCACGTTGACGTCGAAAATAGGTGGTGGTCACATTAATGTGACTGGACTGTGTATATATACAAATAATGAACTCTCGATAACAAGAGCACAATTAAATCACAAGTACAGTTCACTCCAAGGTCGGAAATTTTCAGAGTTCTCGAGTCTATGTCAAATCTAATTACCTGGTCTGCGGTAGATCTTAATTATCACACGGCGTGATAAACGAAACACAAGGGATTCACTTTGAAAAACAGGCGGAAACTCTGTCTATGCAGTCACTTCAGAGAAAAAAAACCACGTCTATTCGACTCGTCGCAAAACTCTCTCTTCGTTTCCAAAAACTACCTTTTAAGAAAATCCGTCAAGGGGAGGGGGTCAGCTTCCATCGCTTCTCATGGAGTAGACATTTCTCAGCTCCT